TAATAATAATAATGACTTTATTGGATCACACAATTACTGGTAGAACCAGTAGTTTTTATTGTGGTCCTCGCAAACAACTGAAACAAAAAATTCAAATTGAAAATAACATTATTAAGAATCCCAACTGGCCAGAGGCAAACCAGATGGCTATTTACAAGCATGGCCAAAGATTTGAACCTGAAGTTACCATGAAACAAATCCAGGTAGTAGTCAAGGCAAGACTTGAACCCAGGAGCGGCAGATTGCGAATCCAACATGCTGACCACGCGGCCACACTGCCTCCATAAGCTTGGCCACTTATCTCTAACAGTTTTTGTCACAGGGCATTATTGGGGTCTAGTTCATGGACCGTAGGGCCCATAACAAAGTTCATAATGAACTTCATAATGGGCCTTGCTCACCATAGAGTCTCTGGGGCTCAGTGGTTTAGCATTGCTGGAGTGTTGTGCAGGAGGTCGAGGGTTCGAGCCCCGGCCAGATCAACACTCAAGGTCTTAAAATAAAAATGAGGAGAATAGGCTACCTTTCTATAACATCAAGAAATGGTTAGATATTCTAGTCTTCTCGGATATAGGGACGAATAAATGGAGGTCCCGTCTCCTGCAGGGTTAGGGGTAGGAGACGTTAATTTCCCACGCATGAGATCACTGTGTGATGGATGTCCTCCCCTTGGGTGGGATGGGTGGGTTTACTGGGCCCGCAGTAATTGGCACAAGCTGTTGTGGTGTCCTTGCCCGTCGGCGAATCTAATAAAAAAAAAATCTGAAGGTCAGAGGTTTGATTCTTCATGGGGATTCAGAATATTTTCTTTGTCCCACACTTGTGACAAGACGATGCGATTCGTGCTTACGGTGCGAAGCGTTACTGAAGTGGGAAGGTTACTGATGTATAGAGACCCATTGATTTCTGGACTGGTTGATTAAGGAAACAGTCAAACTGAAAAACAAGTAGATTGATTGATTGTTAAAATGTGAAATGACATTTGAGAGTTGAAGTCGTAATGAAATGTTACATACAATTCGTATGGCAATCTGTACATCTCTATGTGTTCCTTCGAAGTGTTCGGTTAACTGTTATACAAGTATTGAATTCGTCGCATGCTGTTTAAATAAAAGGGGGTTAATTGGTCCCCAGACTCCCTGGGACAACATTCTGGTGCCAAAAATGGGGTAATTATACTAGGGGCCATTTATATGAAATACATGCCAAACTATTATTACACTAAGTGCAAATCACGATGAAACATCTTTCTCTACAACTTTAGACTTTTTGTTCATTACTTGATTATAAATATAATCATAATTCTTTTTCAAGATCCTTTTCTTTTCCTCTCCATATTTACAGGAAAGAGTGACACTGAAAGGAAAATTCTTGCCACCAGAGAAAAGGAGAAAGGCAATGAAGCATTCCAGAGTGGCCATTACTCTGAAGCTTTGATGTTTTATTGCCGAAGCATTGAACTGGATCCAAAAGCAGCAGCAGTATACAACAACAGGGCACTTGCGGGTATATAGTGCCAACAGTGCACTCACTGATGATAAAATTAGAGTCTATATTGTTGTTGTCACTATGTTGTTACTTCTGATGTGGATTGCATAGTTTCAACTGAATGATGTTAGCCTTCTTCTGGCAACAAGGACAAGGGGATACATGTCACCTTTTGGTGAAAAAATTAATTTGTTGTCATTTTTATGTATCATAATTTGGATATATCAACAAAGTTGAAGTGGTAAATTGGCCACCGTAACGATTACAAAAGCTGACGTTTTGAGCGTTAGCCCTTCATCGGAGGGCTCCAACAAACTGGGCTAATGCTCGAAACGTCAGCTTTTGTAATCGTTACGGTGGCCAATTTACCATTTCAACTTTGTTGATATATCCAAATTATTTCGTTACCCCCACTGACGCAGCCCCAAAGAGTTTCTTTAGAAACTATCAGCCTTTATTTATTTATCATATTTTCTTTATCCTCAAGAAATTAAACTTAAAAAGTTCCAAGAAGCTGTTCATGATTGTAATCAGGTGCTCAGTATGGAACCCAAGAATGTGAAAGGTATTGCATTTATTGTTTCAATAAATAGCTTTATGTCCAACAGTATTTGTTCCAATAGTATTTATATTTAAGAGTGTCTGCATGAATGTGTGGTCATTGCAAAATATGAAGAGAAAAGTTATATATCTTGAAAAATGTAGGCTTGTGAAAATTTTGCTTCTAGAATTGGGTGTGCAAATCCATGTTAGTCATGGTGACTCTTAATCGGTCTTGTTACATTTTAGTTTAAAGTTTCCCTTTTGGGATGTTTCTACCTTTTTGAAGTATTATAATTATGCTTCTTTGAATTAATAGAATTTTGACAACATCTGAACAAGTAATTTTGACTATCGTAAGGTACTTCAGGACTCTTCTATGGAGGAAACATAAAGCTAACCTTTCCCCTTCTCTCAGCTGTATTTGAAGCAAAGTGATGCACCTTTTTTGCTTTGACAGCTTACTTGAGAAGATGCCTAGCTCATCAAGGGCAAGGGCTCAAAGAAGAAGCAAAGGAGGATCTAACTCAAGTGCTTGCTTTTGAACCCAATAATAAAAGAGCCCTGGTATGTTTTGATGAATATTCCATCACCTTTTTGAGTTTTTGTTATTCTTTGTCCTGAAAGGGTATGAAAATAAAAGTAACTTTGCTTCAACTTTTTACTGCTGATTTATTTGACCACAGGAATTGCTCAATGAAATAAAGAAGAAGGAAACCAGGTAAGTATTAAAGGGGAAATGTAATTGTTTGTCTCACAATTTGGTCAGTTGAGATGTAGATTGTGATGTCTTGGCGGCATACTGAAGAAAAGTAGCAGTATGTAGTTGAAATGTCGCATTCCACATCCCAAGTGACCACATTGCGAGACAAACGATTGCATTTGTCTTTTAAGTGTTAGTGACCACGATGAATAACCACAAGCTATTTTATGATAATTATAAACAAGTAACTATTGTGGTTCAGTTTAAATTTAGAAAGTTATTTTAATTGTGGCTTTTTTTAATCCATTCTTGAATGTGATGTTTCTGTAATTATCATTGTAAGTATGTTACTTGCTTAAGACGTAGAGCCATTTTATCAATGTAAGGTTCACATCTGTGAGCTTATTCTAACTACAGAGGTTATCACTAAGTTTAGACTTAAGTGCTTCAGCTTGTTTATCACACATTCGAGCCCAGGTGGGGTACCAACTTCCAGGGTTGAAATAACAACCAAATTAAAATCAAAGAGCATAGGTTCTTTTGGTAATAGTGATTATTTGTTGTCAAAAATGGTTGAAATTGGACTTGGAGTCAGAGTTGGAGTTAATTAGAGAAACAAGACAGAACGTTGCAGCAGCGTGGCGTGGTATGTTTAAAAAGTAAGCTTTGTGATCCAAGACTCATGGTACCCTCTGCTAACCTCCTTTTTTCTTTATCTTTAAGTCAAAATGAAGAACACAGCAAGCTTGGCAGAAAATCAGTGGAATCGCAGCAAGACAAAAGTGAATTTAATGGCACTGAAAGACTTTCTGATAAACACAGTTCTGAAAACAACATGTCGTCAACAAAACCCAAAGGAAAAAGGATGAAAATCATAGAAGTTGAGAGTGAAAATGAACCAGAAACGTCTGCGAAAGCAAATGAGGAAAGAACCAATGAAACGTTAGCTAAATCATTCACTGATTCATCTGAAAAAGCCGAAACTATTAAAAAAACTATGGATGCTGAGCGTTTGCAATCGAGCGACAAGAAAGGAGTTGAAAAACAGCCGCAACTTCCTGGATTAGTGCAGAAGGCTCAAGAAGAAGCAACACAATTGTTTAAACTGGGAAGGTATGCTGAGGCTGCGGAACAGTTTACACAAGCTATTGATATACTGAAGCAAAGCAAAGAAGGTACGCATTGATATTTTTGATGACAATTATGTTTCCATGAGGACAGTGTTATATTATAGCTTCAGGCCGCGGGTATAGTGTTTTGGAGACAATTACTAAGGTTACGTTTCAGACTAGCCCGAAAATGAACAACGAACATTTTTTCAAATGAATCCAAGTGAAACACTCCATTAAACACTCCATTTTCTGGCTCAATGTTTAACTGAAAGTATTAACCCTTTGCACAACCGGCTGATTTTTGGAAAGTTCGTTTACTCAGAACAAACTCCTCCCAACAGATGTAGAAAAATTTAGCATCTCGTGAGACTCTACTCTTATTATCCAAGGAACCAAACAGAACCAGCGGATATCACTGGCAGATTAAAACATAATCGATCATGATTAACAGACACTACTCGAAACTTACAGCCAGAATCAGGAACCATTCAATTTTCAAGAGCATGCGACTATTAAACAGCTCTCCACTTGACTCGTGATGACTTCCACTTAAACCTCTAACCGCTAATAATGATCAGCTTCTAATTTATCCACAGGCAGCCCAAGCTCACTACTAGAGAAGCGGACATGACTCTTAACGTGTTGTTTTCTGGTAGTGAGCTTGGGCTGCCTGTGATTTATCCGGCCTTACAGTTTCACCTTAAATTAAACATTACAAGTAATCACAAGAGAAGGAAACAATCGCCAACTAAAGAAGCTCGTGATTATTAATAGAATTCTCTTTGTCAGTAACAGGCAAGGTGTAGTTTAAAGTGTGGAAAATATGAATTTTGATGTCAGAGTTTGCAGGGTTTGAGATGTTAAAACATCAGTTACTATCTCCGACAGCAGTGCTTTGTCGAGGCTACCCTCATCTGGATGATCAGCAACGCGTTCAGTTGAGTTATTACCTTTCATTTTCTTTTATCTGCAGAGAAAGTTGCTTTCCGTCAGCCCATGTGTGCTTTGCTTTGTAACCGCGGCTCGTGTTTGATCAAAATCGGTGACTGTACTAGTTGTATCAATGACTGTACATCTGCCTTGGAGGTTTCACCTGGTGCTCTCAGACCATTCCTCAAACGAGCGGAAGCATACGGAATCTTAGAAAAGTAAGATGTTCTTTTAGTTTGATTTTGATACCTTTTAGCGCAAGATTCCAATACGTGGTTTTCAAAGTCGTGCATGTTACTAAGAACATGAGAGGAAACAAAAGGGACCTATAGGAAACATTTCCGCATCTTGCGCGAAACAAATGCTTCTCTTTAAAGTGATATGCATCTAACTAGAAGCGTATGTATCTCACTAGTAACGTGATACATCATGGGACGGAGAAAAAACCTCCCTAGAGAACAGGGGCACTTGTCACACAGATAGCATCCCTCATCTCAAAATATACTTTGAATGCATGTCAAAACACGCCATAATCTCACGGTCCCTCGAAAAAATGGACTCGGACACACACAACGGCACCTATCGGTCACGTATAACGAGGCATATCGCTCCGGAAACGTTCACGACGTATGTCAGAAATTTGTCACGTTTTGCAAGAAAAGGTACATTTCATGAAGACATGGCCACCTTGCAAGACTCAACATATATCATTGCTCAAAAGCAGTGTGATCAGTGTCTTGTACAAGAAATGTCAACTTCTTGATTGTTGTTGTGTCAGGTTCGACAAGGCTTGGCTGGATTACCACATGGCGCTGAAAATCAGCCCTCAAAACAGCACTGCGTTACAAGGAAACAAAAGGTTAGAAATGATTCTTTTATTTTCGTAATTAAGGTTCTTTTCAACCCTTTCACTTCCATGATGAGTGACCAAGACACCACTTCTCCTCACAATAACAGTACAATTTCAAGCAGACAACTGATGAGAATTAAGAAAAATATCAACAAGGGTATTATTAGTTGATCCAATACCAAATTCTCCTAACTAACATCATAAGAGTCTAACGCAAACATTAAAGAGAATTAATATTACTATTAAGATCAAGGGAGTGAAAGCGTTCAAACTAGAATAATACTTTTCCGTTTTTTTTTCTGTTTAAATATTCTGTGCAAGAAGTTACTTCTTTAGTTTTCTCTGTACACTGAATTTACCTTGTGTACTATTTATTTTTGCGCGGTTATTACTCTGTCCACCCTCTTGTTACATGTTTTTAATGGTCCATCTCTAATTTTAAAATTGCCAAGACCATGTGTGTCTTGGCTGATATTGAGTAACTTTGAGTCTGTTTGTGTAGGATTTCAAAACAACTAGAGCGTCTATATGGAACGAACTGGAGAGAGAAAGTTTCCCCAATGGAATACTCACCAAGTAACAAGTCTTCTGTGGCATCATCTACTGATGGCGCCTCAGGTCGCCCTACCCCCACGCAGTCAGCGGATAAAGTCACAAACCAACTCCACCCCTCCCCACCTCAGGTGCCAACCGAAAAGGTGCCAACCACTACCCACTCCACGGTAGAGGCCCCTGTTGACCCTGCTGTGAGGTTTGCACAGCGCAAAGAGGAGGGAAATTCTTTAGTTAAACAGGTAGATCACGTGTTATTTTTGTTGCTGTTGTTTTCTTTTTTTGCCTCGTTGTGTTCATATGTTTCCCCATGTACTGCTTCCGCACTCGTGTACTGTTTGTTTGTTTTCATTTTCTTTTGTCATTCGCGCACAAGCTCTATAAATATGCGCTCATTACTCTGGATTCAGTTCAGCTTGTGAAAATTTCGTTACCCCCCTTAAAAAGTTTTCATTTATTAGACCTTGTCAATCCTCTAGCAAATTTGTAAATGATACTTAAAATCCAAGGTATATTCCTATTTAGAGCAGGAGCATTTTCCTTTTCCTGTAACAGAACCGCTACGAGGAAGCTGTTGCACGATACACCGAATGTATTAATATCGATCCCACAAATGTAGCAGTTTATACAAACAGGGCACTGTGTTACTTGCGACTTAATCAGGTAAGAGGCTTAACCCATACTTAACTCTATAACTACCCAGGGGAATGATCAAGACAGAATTTCTCCTGACTGTATCAATATAATATCAAGCAGACAACTGATGAGCATGAAGACAAATATGATGGGATTATTGGTTGATCCAATACCAAAATCTCCAAACTAAAATCAGAAGAATTGTATAGAAGACAGTAAGGAGAATTCTAAATGAGATCGTGAGAGTGAAAGGTTTGCATTCCTACGGAGAGTAGGAATCTTTCTTTCGTGTAGCAACCGATAACTATTCTTTCTTTTACATTTTATTTAAATCTTTTTGCTGTAGTTATTATTCTTATTCTCTGATAACTTATCAATTCGTCACTATGTCTTAAGCCCGAGTTGGCAATCAGTGATACAACAGAAGCCCTGAGACTTCAACTAGATAACGTGAAGGCTCTTTTCAGGAGAGCACTCGCCAAAAAGGTTTGTTTCATCGCCGAGAAAGCAACATGTACGGTATGACCCTAATGGGCGGGTTCTATAAAACGTTAATGCGATTCAACTGCAAATGATAACAAAAGTAAGAATGAGGAAATTATGCATTTTTCCCCTTTTGAATAACTAAAAAACCTGAAAGAGCGGGAAAGTACTTCCCCACCAACTTATGCTTCATGAGGCTTATAGCTGATGAATAACAGCAAAACTGTATTCACGAATTAGACTTGTTGCACTCGACTGACAAAAAAACTTCTCACTCTACTTTTGCTTGTGATTTTCCCGACGTCAGTCACTACTGCCGACAGTAGCCCTTCTCTTCAATATCCACCCTCATCTGAGCGATAATACCACGCTCCTTGGTTCAAACTCTTTATTGATGTCGGAAAATTTGCTCATTGTACTTCACGACTGTATCGGTTCTGACCCCTGATTGGCTGAGAGCTCAGTCAATTTTTATTCGTTACTGGGTGCCACATAAGTGCTGATTATATTTTTCGATCATTTGTAATCTTTCGTAACTGACGTTAAGTAGCCATGGAAACTGTTTTTGCGTCTGTGTTTGACAGGCATTGGGTCAGTATGATTCAGCTGCAAGAGACTTGGTATCTCTCCAGAAGATTGAACCAAAAAATGCTGCTGCCAAGAAGGAATTGAATGTTGTTCTTGAGATGTGTCGTAAGGTATTCCAACAAGACTCCATTAACATCAGTTTAGAGTAACTGTGCCACGTCTGCTAAGATATTGGTAAACCCTTTGGAATTGTACTGATGATCTTTTTTATTTATTTTTGTAATTAAAAAAAAAAAAGAAACTTAAACTGTTGTCATGTCGACTTTTGGCAGGAACGTAGGACATCACAGGACAACAATACAAAACCAAAAGAAAGAAAAGAGGAAAAGAAAGCTGAGAAACAGGCGCCAAAAGTCAACCATGAGCAGACGAAAACAAAATGGAAAAGGATAACAATTAGGGATGTACAAGAAAAAGACGAAGAGGTCAGTCAAGTAAACCCCCCTTCCTTCCCCCTCTCGGTCAAAGGAGTTGGTCAAGTAAACCCCCCTCCCTTCCCCCTCTCAGTCGAAGAGGTTGGTCAAGTAAACCTCCCTCCCTTCCCCCTCTCAGACGACGAGGTCGGTCAAGTAAACCCCCCTCCCTTCCCCCTCTCAGTTGAAGAAGTTGGTCAAGTCAACCCCCCTCCCCTCCCCCTCACAGACCAAAAATGTATTTTCCGATTCTATTTTTTAACTGAACAGAATCCTTTAACTGTGCTTGCATTCTCCTTTTGAGCAATGGGAGCATTGACAATTGTCAAGCCCCTTGGCAAATAGCATGAAAACGAGTTTGCATGATGCACCAATTTGTTTTTTCCCTGTGCCACGATTATCTACCCATAGGTGCCCAAAGATGGTACAACGAGAGAACGCAAAAGAAACTAACTCCCCTTTCCCTGTGCGTGTCAGGTCTACAACACGACATCCAAATAGGATTGTTGTTCCAGAGTTTGTTTTCACTTCCACGTTATGAACAGGGTTCCGGTGCACATAAGCTATACTTCACCCTCGCACCTCCATAATAAGAGAGTGCGCCCTTGTCTTATCTTTTGCGGAGATCAACGTTTTTCTTATTGTACCCAAGGATGACGACGAACCCGTCCCCTCGCCGAAACAGCCGTCTGTCCCCACAGCTAACAAGATCTCAGATAAAGCGCCAATAAACTCAGTGGAAGGCACCACAGGTGGAAAGCGAGTCAAGCTTGCAAAGGTAAACCTGTTTTGTTATCTCAATTGAACTGTGTTAGTATTTTCATCAGCGTCATTTTTCCTTCGTTTGCATCTTTTCCATCCTTAACCTCGTTTCTTTTTGGTTTCATGACCTTTTGTTCTAACGCCTTTGGTGGAGAACGATCTCTTGAAGGTTTCATTCAAATTTTAATTTTGATCCTCCTATCTTTTCGGAAAATCAAAATCGTGATCGTTGACGAATATTCTGAAACAATGAGAGTTTTATCGATCACTTCATGGTTTCATTCAATTTTGAGTTTTGATCCTCCATTACCTTCGGAAAAACGAAATCGTGATCCCCGGCGAAGCTTCTGAAACAATGAGAGTTTATCACTCTATTTAATGAGTCATTGCGTTACATAATTGAAGTTTAAACACGGTTGTTTTTCTTTAGAAAACGCCGTACGATTTCTTTCAAGCCTGGAACTCGGTGAAAAAGAATAATGCCAAGGATTATGCTGATTTACTGAGGCAGCTGGGGGTGAAAAGCCTCCCCAAAGGTACCGATTGTGTCAAGATACTTGTAGTACTGGAAAGGGCTGGTGACAGAAGACAATAGAAAAGAAAGGATAAGAAAAAGCAAACCTGGAATAAGAACTACTAAGGCACGGAAACATACACTGACTTTGTATGTTCTTTTTTTCCGCTAGTTCTCAGCAATAAACTTGATGCTCCCATGTTAAATAACATCATGGTAGCCCTCAACCAGGAAATTGTTCCGCAAGGTAAAGGCAAACTTCAACTATTTAATTGAAGAACAGTTGAGGATTGAAACCCTAGTTAGGTTTAAGTCATAATCTAATCCTATGATCAATGTGAAATTCTTTTAGGAGAAGAAAAACTTGCTTGCAACATTCTTGAAGAGCTTAGTCATGTCGAACGATTTGATATGGTGTTGTTATTTATGTCTTCTAAAGAAAAGAAAGGTAAGAGACTTGGGTTAAAAGAAATTTGTTGTCGTCTCTACAAATTGTTTTTTTTTTTGGGTCCACTGTGTTAATTTATCAATTCATTTCTGTTTTTAGAACTTCAACAGCTTTTCTCTAAGCTTCAAGTTGCAAGGGAACAGAAGCCATTTGTCACAAGTGATGAGTTTGAACGGCTACAAAAGAAGTACAGGACTTAGGAATCTAGTTCATAGTACTAAAGGACAAGTTATGCATCTGCTTTTTTGACAATTGAATGAGTTCTCTTGGTTCCTTGCACCAGCTTAATCTCCGTAACCCTTTGACCCAATGAGTGACCAGCATCTAATTTCTCCTTCAGTCTCACACCTAAATCAAACATTAAGATCACAAGAATGACAGAAATGATCAAAGAACCTCTTGATTGTTAAACAAATTCTCCTTGTCAGCACCTAAGGAAAGATATAGTGAACAGTATGGAGAATATGCATACTGATGTGAGGGTGTAAAGGGTCAAAGCTGAAAGCACCACAAGTTTGAAAGGGGAGGGGGGTTGAAATTCCATGTAAAGAGCAAGCTAGCAATAAGACTATGCGAATTGAAAATCGGCAGGCAAAAAACATCATAGACCCTTCTGACAATGGTATCTTGTACCTTGGGGACAAGAACTAGTAAGGTTGATCTCGTAACTATTTGATGTCCAGCATGACTTCTGAAACAAAAAAATTAAATCACTCCACCTTCTCTGTGATAACCAACTATTAACCTGACCAGCTTCCTCTAAATAACGAGTACGTTAAAAAAAAAAATAGACATTGAAAATGTTTGTTTTAACTAAGGTGTTGTTATACCTCAGATAATCTTTGGCAATTTATTTATGGCTGAAAGACTGTTTGCTGGTTAAATGAAAGGTTTTATTGATGCTAAAAGTGTGAATGTTCCAGAAACTTTCAGATTGTTCTCACTGAGGTTGCATTAAATATTATTACAATTGAAGTTTTAACTATTAAGGAAATTATGCCTGCAGAAAGTGTTTCCCCGAGACAGATCATGTAGGGTGTGGGAATGTTTTAATGGATATATACTCTTAAAATGTTTTAGTTATATGCTGTGCTGTGAATTTTCTTTGATGGAACAAAGCTTTATTTAGAAATCTGTCCCTTAACTACACAATCCTGGTAATACAGAGTTTAATATTTCATTATACATGTATGTCATGGTGCAAGTGTTCTTTATAACCATAATACCTTTTGGTTGTCACATTATTTCTAAAGAGTGTTAGTGTTGTGTGACACCTGTCACAAGTGTAGGCTTCCTTGAAGAACCATGACTGCTTGTCCAGCAATGTCAACTCTGTTGTCTTCCCTGACGTGAACTCTCAGTTCTCCGCCACGTGATGAACACTGACGAGCTAAAAAAAAATGGGAAAAGAAAAGGTGGACTTTCTGTAACTAAATGTACTTGGGTGTGACTAGTTTTTTAAACTTGGATGTGGGGTGAGATAGAAAGTTCAGATAAAATTTCCCAAACACTGGCTTAAATGTCAGAGGGAGACATTTCGAGTCAACTACAACCACAGCTGTATGGGTGGTTGATCAAGCCTAACACAGCCTTAACAGATATGCTTAAACAGAGATACTTTAAAGCACCAATTTTGAAACCATCCTTTTTCTAGGTAAGATCAAACCACAAAATTCTGAATAAAAATCCAAAAACTGAGCCACACATTTATGAAATATACCCTTTCAAGGCCAAATAAAATGTGAGCTTTGTTACTGGGAACTGGTTTACTACGAACTTTGGCAAATGTCACTAACCCCAAAATTCCAAGAGCACGTTTCAAACAACCTTACTTGGAACTCTGGAACTCACCATAGAAATCATCCTTTTTCAGTCTCTGTGACCAATAACTAGCAAGAACTGTATGTGCTGAACCTACAAGGAAAATAGTAATGTAAGAAAAAAGAACTTTAGTATATGAATATGACCACCTTTTAAAAACAGCCCTTTTTAAACTCACCAGTAACTGGGTCCTCAGATATACCAACCCAAGGAGCAAAGTAACGTGAAACAAAATCGTACACCTCACCACTACCATCCACACACCCATTTCCCTTAGTCCCCTGCAGGGTAACAATTACACCACGGACAAGTCCAGATGAGAGAGCAGACAACATAGCCTGGAAGTCTGGGGAGAGGTTCTCCAAGTCTTCTCTGTGAGCAAAGGTTAAAGATTTATCAAAAATACAATGCTATTGAATGACCCAGTGTAGCTTCACTGGGAGATTGCTGGTGTTGAGTTTTATAAAAAAGGTTTGCCCCCTAGCCCACACTCCCTTAATTTTGCCCAAGAGCAATTCTTTTCATGTTTTTTTATCATTCATTACAAAATACTAATACTTGAATGCTTAGTCCATGACCATATACCTTGTCAATGAAGGCTCCAGACACAAGAGTAGTTTCTTGGTTGTCTTAGAGTATTCTATGTCTTTCACCCTGAGGTCACCTACAACTGATAAATATTTTCGATTGCTGAGTTAACTGCTAGGAAGTGTTTCTAAATATTAAAAACCTTGCTATTTGACTTAATTTCTTCTTAGTACAATATACAAAGAAGTGATAAGCTCTTTACAGTGAAAGACACAGTAGACTTGTGGTTAGTACACTTAAGGTTCCAAGCCCTGGCTGGGATCCCTGTCTTGTGAGCTCTAAATGCAGTCATCTTAGAGGGCAATTTTTAAAAATAATTTTGGGGAAGCATGCTCACAGGCTCTTGCCCTTGCTGCTTGTGGTCACAGCTTTACCCCTCCCAGAACCTCCCTTTTTTCATCTATTTTTTTAAAGGATTTGAATCTCTAAAGATGCTTCACTCTTGCCAGGCCTCTCTGCCATGGTGTATAAATAGTTTTTGGAAACTGTCTGTGAAACCTGATGAAATACAAGGAAAGGTGGGGAGGAGGGTGGGGTAACATGTGTTACAATGGTGTACCATCCAGATGGAGTGCTCTTATTTTGAGTTACTTAATGCATCAGAATGGGTAGTGTCTAAGACTGAACTTATAAAGGTACAACACCTTATACCAAAGTGGTGGAGAATAAATAATTCTGTGCACTACTTCCTGTGTCTTGAAGAAATTGTTGAAGAAAAAAATGATTACCTGCTTTGATTAATCTTGTTAGGGCTTCATCCTGACAGAAAAGTAATGCAAATACTTGATTTTAATGCTGGAACATACTTTGAACAATGTAATTTTTGATAGCAAACAAAGGGTTAAGTCTAACTTGCGTCTCTTCAGAGAGGTACCACAATATCAATACTCTCACAGTGACAACAAGTCCAAGTACAATAGACATAAATATACTATTATTACACCATTTTAATAATACATAATTATAGACTAATGGTTGGTACATGTAGGAATTTTGCACTTAAGGTTCATGAGAGAATTTCCAGACAAAAGTATGCCACTTTTCATGCTCATGGTACAAATACCAGTGAGTACACAAAATTTATGATGACATTAATTTTCAATTTTCAATTGCAGCTGGAAAAGTAGAACCCTGGGCTGTACTTAAGCACATGATGATATTTACACATACTTTGGGTAGTGGTACACAGCTATTCAATGGGAAGTTTAAACAAATTGATGAACCTGAAGTGTAATAAAAACAAGCAAATCAGAATATGATTGCTATAACTGCAACATTCTTGCACAAATTTATTGAGAGCAAAATTAGACTCTCTACTTGTCAATTTCATGATTAGACCTTGCAAATCCTAAATATCCAGTAGCAATAATATTGGCCAATGTGACTTTCTTGTGTTATGTTTAATTGGCTAGAAAATTACTGTAAAAATTTGCTCTGAAAAAGGGCTAATGCATGGAATGTCGGATTTGGAACTCTTCAGAGTAGAAAATTTCTTTATTACGTTTGGACTTTGTAAAATGCTGACGTCCGATCTCAACCTTAACAACAACATGTTAAGCGCTATTGATCAGCACATGTAAATACGTGCTAAATAAATTGGTAAATTATTAACTCATTAAGTTATTATTAAATTATTCTATTCTATTATCTTTACTGTACACTATTGTCGGCTTGTACAACAACTCTAGATTCCTACCTTGTCGTCTTGCCATTAACTTCCCACTTAGAGTTTCAAATGTTACTTCAGCATTTGCATTACCTAGCGAGGTGACCACACAGTCACACATTACTAATTATATAATTAAAAGAAACAAATCTGAAAAAGGGAGTAATGGTGAATGCACTGATAGGGTTTTTTTTTTTTTGGGGGGGGGGGGGTAGGTCAATATGTTTGATTCTGTTGTGAAGACTGTTGTAAGAGAAAAGAATCCAGACAAGCGAATGGTACCTCTGACATTTGCACTGTTCAACTAAAAGAGGTTCAACTTTATAAGGGGTTCAGTACCATTTTCCATAGGCTGCTGTTTGTGGAAAAGGGTTATAAGGCCCCATTTCCCAAGTGGGTATCTGGGGCATGCTTACCAAGCAAAAATTTATAAATAACACTTAGAAGCTTAGAAATGTCATTTCCAGCATTTTTCTTTTGGGTATTGAAAAGACTGCTATTCATACTAATTTTTCTTGACACCTCAGTTTGTAAATCACCTGTCATTATTGACTGGTCAGAATGCTGTGTTTGTAGATATACAGTCAGTGGAAATTCAAAAATCAATGGCTTGCAGGGGGGGGGGGGGCTCTTGTTTTAAGACCACCTGGCAGCTCACAACTTTGTGTGAAAGCCCACAGGGAACCCAAAGACTGAGTCTGCTCACAGGCTAGCCAGGGGGTGAGAGATCTTAAGGATTGGTGGAAAGGTGAGTAACTAGCTTTTATGTATGATGCACGATCCTCGCAGCAGAGAGCGCTATTTATGCAATAGTGGAAATCAGACATGAAAAAAATCAGGCCTGTACGGGTTTCAAACCACTGACCTTTGCGATACTAGTGCAGCGCTCTACCAATTGAGCTAACAAGCCAACTGGGAGCAGGCCGTTAAGTTGATTCGTAATAAACCCGTGATGATAAATCAGATACGATGAATACATGAAGTTCATATGTTCATCATATCTGAATATGAATATATGAAGTTCACATAAGAAAGCAGTGGTTTATTGACACCACTGCTTTCTTAACCATGGTCTTACCTATGGAGTCAAACAAAACCGCTGCTGACGCTAAAGTTGCATGTCCACATAAAGCCACTTCACATGCTGGGGTAAACCAACGAAGACCAAAACACCAACCTACAGTAGAGAGAAATAGAATTGTGCAACATAAGAAGAGGTGTGAAAAACTCAGGTCATATAACAAATTTGTGTTTAAGTAAAACCACTTTGCTCTTGGAATGAAGTGTTGTGATTTTATCAATATGTATATTCTCTATAATGTTCTCCATGCATTTCCCAAGGTGCTAATGAGGAGAATTTGTTGATCAATCAAGAGCTTCTATAGATTGTGATCATTTCCTTTATTTTCATGACCTGTGTGATTCAGGGATGATTTTGGAGAAATAAGATGTTAGTCCTCCATAGTAATCAGGACTTAAGAAGAAGGAATAACTTATTCAACTGAGTATCATTCACAGTGATCATTCCTAACCTTTAGAGTATGTGTCCTGCTCAGTTTTTTTGAGGATAAAAGCAGTGTCCGACAGGTTCATTTCATGTGCTATCTTTTGCATGGTGTTGTCATTTAATTCCTAAATTTTAGGCAAAAGGAAATAGAGTCTTTGCTCAAGTAATACTCACTTGGGTTTGGTAGACCTAACCTTTTGAATATGTGTCATGTTCATGTTTTTCCAGGATAAAGGCTGTTTCTGATAAGTTCATTTCTTTTGCAACTTTTTGCAAGATGTCATCAGTAAGTTGCTGCTTGTAAGAACAAATTAATTCACTGAAGATTATTGCTACACACTGACTTGCAAATTTTATCAGTAGTAGAAAAATGAGGTACAAATGAAACTTCAAAAGAGAACAAGCAAATTTGCATAGATTCCATAAATGTAGTGTACAATTTTTTTTTAGGAATTACATTTTACAAATGCCAACAATTTTCAGTTATATTTTTGGCCAGCACACACTGAATTTGAGACCCTGAATTGAGGTCTCCAACTCCTTCAATCTCCAAGCCAGAAGAAAGACTTTAAGTTAACAGAAAACTGAGAAATGAAATTTTTTTAAGGGAAAATACGTTTATTGTTTCAATTAATTCCATCCCCCACCTCCACTTCCGAGCACCCCTAAATTCACAGGATGGGAAATGGGTCAGTTTTGATCGAGACAAATCCCTCTCTAAAATTCTCCCCAGTAAAATGCTCTTCAGGTCCCACTTCTCAGGGGAAAAAAATAGAGGCGAAAGGAAAATAAATCACATCTATTTTTTTCCGTATTTAAAGGGGAATGTCCACATTCATTTTAATTACACCATGTGACCCGATGCTAGGTAAATTTAGTGACAATTGTCACACAATCGTTTTTCTAGCCCGATCTCTTACTCGTTGCCAGTAAAAGTTTCTTACTCTTGATCCCACAAGACAAACAGCAGCTGGATTCCCGCCAAAGGGTTTATCGGTGAATGCATCCACCACAAAGATTGGACAACTCGCCTCAACCGCCATCTTGAATAATGTCGTTACCAATCTTCCTCGGAGTACATTTTTTCCAACAGGTACGGGCACCAGGGAGTAAGGTGCCCTTGAACTGAAGTTGCTATCGTAGTGATTACTGAAAAGGATTCAAGTTCTTCCAAGCAAAAGTGGTTTCTCCTTTTTCCCCTCTCCTTCGTTTTTGTGTTAAATGTTTCTTTGTGCCCTCGTAAATTGTTCCTTCGTCTCTTCGATATTGCGTTAGTTCGATGGTTTTTATGTTTTTTTTTTTTCCGATCGTTCGTTAGTTCGTTCGTTAGTTTCTTCGTTCATTCGTTTGTTTCACTTCGTTTCCTAGTTCGTTCATTCGTTCGTTCATTCGTTCGTTCGTTCGTTCATTCGTTCGTTCATTCGTTCGTTCGTTCGTTCGTTCGTTATCGCTCCCTCTTTCGTTCGCTCGCCAGTCAAGTCCTTCTGGCTAGGAATTATTGCAAATCCACTTTGCGCAAAAAGGGGGTTCTGCTATCTCACCAGAGCCAAGAGCCTTTTTCTTTTTTCTTTTTTTCATTTTGTTGCCAGCGAGCATTTATGATCACGAGAAATAAGATTTTTCTTGTTTAATACTTATAGCTTTTTTCTTTCAACTGAATTACTAAATAATCAAGGTGATCCTCGGTTTAAGAGAACCACCTCCTGATCACGAATTTTGTTAGTGTTGTTGAACGGGTGTAAGGACAAAAAAATTATTCGACTTTTTCAAAACTTCGGTCTCAGTTTTTCGGCGTTCTTATGTATTCATTCTTCACTCCTTCATCTCGTCATTCCTTTCTTTAACAATTCAGATTTTTTCCTCCTCTTTTGTCTGTGTCATTCTTTCTCGTCTTTATCAATGGCTTTCTTCTGTGACTTTCTTCAGTGACTTTAGTCTTTCATACTTTTCTTTACTTTCTCGATATTCAATTCTTTGTAAATCCTAGAAGTGTTCAGACCTTTGTCGTATATATGTGAATCTAATATATGTCCCAGTTGACAAACAAGACCTATTTCACGGTATGCAGAACGCGTGCTATTTATGAACCTAATGATGTCCTCTGTAGCCTCATAATGAAGCATTGTTCGATTCCTCAAGGGAACATTTTTTTCTCTACACCACGCCCGTAGTTAGATGAACTACATCTTTCTTTGAACTCTTTGTAACTAAGTTCACAAAACATTCCACCGCCAAACCCGGAGATTTAAGGTTCAACTTCAAATCCTGGCGAACGATTTGGATCAGTTTTACTTCGTCTCCCACGTGAGACAAGTATCCACTTTCTTCTTTCTTCCCTTTGTCAAAATTGTTAAAATATTTTTATTTTGTTAACTTTGCTATCAAAATGTTGAACTGGGTCAAAATATCAGCTGTGATATCGGCCAAGGCGGCAGGATGGACTGGATCCAATATATCATTACATGAAATTCGTTGAAACAAAACTCGGCACCTTTCAGTTACATTTTCTTAATAGGTTTTTATCTAATTTATATTTCGATTGGTCAATATCAGTTCTTTATGCAGTAGAATGATAGTCAATATTAGTTTAACGGAGTAAAAACGCACGCGAGCTGAAGCTGAAGGTTTACAGTTGTATCAAGTGTTCTTCCGACATCATTGAGAAGGGCTATTACGCCTTTAAAATCAATAGGACGTGCGTTCCGTATTGATAGATAGATAGATAGATAGATAGTTTATTACCAAAAAATAAAAACACTTTTCACAATTATTTATAAACATATATATATATATGGGACTATTATGTGTGGAAGGCTGAAAGAAAACAACTACATGTACATGATCCCTTAGACCTGTTTCCAGGTTGCCCACTCATCAGGGGATTTTAATGGAAGAATAATGCGATACCATGGCTTATATACTATACTAAGTGCTAATTAATATGGTTTATGCAGTATGAAAAGTGTCAAGTCAGCTGTTGCGTAGGAGGGCTTTGTTTCTGTGTCGGCAGGAAGAGACGAGTTCGTTACGCTTGTTGAGTGTTGATAGGTCATTTGCTTGAGCTGTTGTAGGGCAGGTGGGAAGATAGGATGCGCCAAGTGATGGAATAATCGATGTTGTCTTTAAGTGTCCAGATGTGTTTGCTGAGTTCGGTGGAGTTGCGATGTTTTGCGTGTCGGAATGATGAGGTGTGGTTGTTTTAGCGGGACTTAAAATCGTTTGCAGTGAGTCCGATGTATGTGTCTGTCGTGCTGTTGTCTTTACGCGTAATAGTAGCTAGGTATATGACAGATTGATGGAGGCAGTTTCCGTCTAGAGGGCATGAGTTTTTCTGTCAGCAGTTGCATTTCTTGTTGTTGTTTGCGGTAGAGGTGTCGTTAGTCTTTACGTGGGAGGTGAGGATTCTTTTGTTGTGGTTGTCGATAAAAAACTACAAAATTTATAAAACTACAAAATTTGCAAAAGATTCTAAGACCTAAAATAATTACAATTGTACAGTAATGGAATAAATACGCAGTCGATGCTAAGACCCTAGAATATATGTGACCCTCAAATATATGTGAGTATTTCAGTACCGAAAAAGACAAGTTTTTCAACCAATCAGCGCTCGCAAAGTATCCCAGTTATTTTACGATATCACGAATGCGACTTAAGTAAGTTACGAATGAATTTTTAGAAATGGTACCAATGGTATCTCTTTAAGTCCCAGGAGTGATCAAGACGGAAATTCAAGTTACAATGTTAATACAATATCTACGTAGAAAAATGATGAGAATAAAGAAAAAGATCAATCAGGCGATTTTGAGTTAATCCAATACCAAAATCTCCAAATTAACATCATAACCGCCTCCTCGTTAGCTCGATTGGTTAGAGCGCCGGATTGTGTTGTGAGGGAGGTCGAGGGTTCGAGTCCCGGCCGGACCGATACTCGTGGTCTTAAAATAAGTGAGGAGAATTTGGTACCTTTCTATAATCAAAAAATGGATAGATATTCTAGTCTTCTCGGATAAGGACGAATAAACCGTAGGCCCCGTCTCCTGTAGGGTTAGGGGTAGGAGACGTTAATTTCCCACGTATGGATGTCCTTCCCTGGGGTGGGATGGGTGGGAATTGGCCCTGAAAAGCCCCCATGGGGAGTGGTCAAGTAACGTATGTATGTATGTATGTATGTATGTATGTATGTAGAAGAATTTGATTGTGGACAGTAAGGAGAATTACTAATAAGATCTTGGGAGTGATAGGGTTAATAACTGTTTCAGTGTGATTACATGAAGGGTCAGTTTAATGAGGGTTTGAACCGTTTGCATCGATGCTGCAGTGTGACGCAAACCAGTCGACCTCGTTAGCTGGAAAAAAACTGATAGTATGCTGTCGAAAGGAAGTGATCCACATCAGAAGTGACTACATCGCCAGACAGACGATAGAACCTCGTTACTAGATTTCAGAAGAATTAGATTACAGCACACTGCCTTTACTCCTTAGAAGAGTTCAAGTAGAACAGCTACGATTTCGAGTGTTGTGTAACGGCTAAACAAACGCCATCATCAACGGGGATTTCAGGAGGTTGATAAGTAGAGAAAAGATGTTAACTAAAGCCAGAAGGAAAAAGCGAAGACGGTAGAACGCTTTTTAATCGTGGGGATGGGGCTCGATCATCTTACACCAAACCAAAGGCACACCTTACTCAATTCCCCATGATGTCCTTCGCGAAGCTCCCTGGCACATTAAGCAAAACTCCTTGGCAATCGTAACAGTATTCAGTATGTCTGTAGTCGATATGTTATAATGATTTAGAGGAACACTTGTGAAAAGAAAGTCAAACAACATACTTGTTTAAATGTGTTCCAGATGAAACGATTCGTGAAGAAATCACGAAACTGAATAATTTTTCAGGTCAGTTCTATGCTGCGTTTTCGATTGTATCCGCACTGGAAGGTGATGGTGTTTTTCCCCCTCCCCTCCCTCATATTTCGTTTGTGAGGTTGGATTTCCCCCCGATTCCTTAACACTGCTACCCATAGACACTTTATCGTAAACTCATGTCGCTGTTGTAATCTGAGTGCCTGTTATATATACGCCCCAATATTTCAATTGAAAGTTTCAAACAACTTGGGATACATATATCTTATTAACCAAGCGCGAGGGCCGTACTGGGAGAATATCGGCCCGAGGTCTTGACAGTACGGACCGAGCGCAGCGAGGTCTGTACAAAAAAGACCGAGGGCCGATATTCTTCCAGTACGGTCCCGAGCAAGCTTGGTTAATAAGAGATTTATTATACGACTGAAGTTCAAAGGGACACAAGTGCGGTATCATTCGGGACCATTCGGGACAGTGCCCGGTCCAATACTGACAGAATATTGACCGGCAATAGAGCATTTTGATTGGTTGATTTTAGTTATTGGCCCTCTGACTGCCCGAGTCGTGTAATAAAAAAACTTACAGTACATTCAATCTAAATATGTCTGACAATACTATTACGTCAAATCTCGTAAAATACTGTGTTAATTTGATCTCCCAACCTCTGTGTTTTATTTATCTCTAGTAGCAATCTGCAAGGTTTTTTTGTTCTATTAACATAGGTTTGACTTATTTATTATTATTCTTCCATAACTTGTTATTTTAATCACGTTCTTGTTTTGCCCCGCCGCGACTAGCTTCTTAGCTATTTGCGGGGCAAACCATTTTAGTCATGTATCTTTGTAAAATGAATGTTCAATTATGTATGTCTGTAATCAGAATAAGAATAAAGTTTTGTTGTTGTTAAAATACTCGATTTACGTGAATGAATCTGTCTGAAACATTTCTGGTTACATCTTTACCTAGCAGAGGTTTTCAGAGTGAATAAAAAAAAAAAAAGAAGGAAAACAATAAATACTATTAAGTGGTAGTCTAGGCCAAGAGTTCTTTCGACGTTTTAGCTTTAACCATACCACTGCTATCGTAACCCGAAAGATGATAATTAGAGATCGAATATATAAAGTCAAAGAAAATGCATGGCAAGGGCGGGAAAATGCACGTGACTATGAAAGCCATGATTGGCTAAGAATTTACATCTGATTGGTTGAAAAGATGATGGGAGTTTTCTGAGCCAATCACAGAGAGCAGAAAAACGAACAAACAAACAGTAACAATTCTTTTTTCATACTTGGTTGTATGCTTATCTGAGTTGTTTTTGTAACGAAAACTTAGTATGATTTTGACACAGTTTTCATTCTAGATATTACTTTTCTCTCCCCACTTGAGTTACCTCAGACAATAAGAACCATTAGCGATAACTTTTTCTAATCCTCACCCCCTGAGGTTATTTGAAGGATAGGTATTGTCTGGAGAGATTTTATCTGAGACTTTTGTATGCAGTAATCAAAAGATTAACTGCATTACAAAATGATTTTTTGTATCGTGCTAAATTCTGTAGAGCTTTTGAGAAACTACAATATATTTTAGTTAGATTTGAAAGTGATAAAGATGAGAGAGAAGCAGAAAGCGAGGAATGAAGATGGTCAGGCATAGAGATTTTGACATATCGTAGATACTTTAAAGATGACACTGCAGATGTGCAAGTGTTACCTTCGGATGCAGCAGTACAGCTCTTGTTCCGCGCTTTGTTCTGTGATTTTATCTGTTTGCCGAGTTAAATTACGTGGAGTCCTCCACGTGCGTTGCACTCGAGGAAACACTCGGGCTTTTTTCAAGAGACAACGTCACCACGTTATTCAAACGGAAATGAGCTCCATATGAGGTTTTTTTTCTGAAAAAAAACTTTATGGACCTTGAGGTTGTGAGTGGAGTTAAATTGAACGTTTGTTGCTATGTTTGGCTTGTCTTCCTTTGCACATGTGTTGAGTGGCCTGATAAATATCTCCGTAAATCAGCTAATTTTGCGGGGCGTGTGCCTTTGTTTGGCAATCAAGCGTCACCGGCAATGTTTCAGCCTTTCATTGAGGAGTAGAATGATATCAAATGGGTAATTAGATATTTGATGCTGGTAAATACGTTGATTTATAGACCTGCTGGAGGAGTTTCTGTCCCTGTGGGTGCAACAACAACTTTCACAAGATTTCCTTAACCATGGATGTTATAAAATGCAATAAATACTTCAAATGGTCAAAACCATATCTCATTTTATCACTTATTGGACTTCAGATTTCATTTCCAATAACCATTGCCCTGTACGAGAGGGCGAACAGATTTGACCCCAATTTCTCCCCGTCTAATGTTTATTATATTTTTGGATTAAGGAGAGATAAATACCAAAGATATAGGCGAATAAAAGCATAGTGTGTTCGCGTAATCTACGGATTAAGGATCAGTTTTACACACAGAAGGAGCAAAGCTCTTCACATTGAAGCCTGAAGTGTTGAAGATGCTTAGAGAATCCCACACGTGGCCTATATTGTGAGCTCGTGTCATTATAGCCGGGTTACCTAAGAAATGAACAGATTTGTTGAGCTTTATTAATTGCCAGGCATTGTTGATCAAATTCCGTGCACATCCTAATAACAATGTTTATTAGACAGAGAAAAATGACTCGTCAGATGGGCAAAACGTGTAAGGACAATCGCACAGGCCCTCCAACCCAAAACGGTTTTGTATTAAGAGATAAAAGGAAGATGGTAAAGCAGAGCCCGCCACTGAAAATATCAATTATTCACCATCTAGACATGCAGCTTTTGTTACGCTAAAACAAAAGACTCTTTTTCACAAAACATGTTGCGATAGAAAGTGAAAATGCTCCGTTTCGTGAACGCTACGATGGGATAAACACCACCCCTCAACGAAGAACACTCTTGAAGCAAATCTCAGCACGAGTGCGATATTGGCCCTTAAATATTACCGACGATAACGGCTTCTTTGCAGTTAAGAGGCTTTTAAGTGAAAATAAGGCGAATAAAATATCGGGTTATGGCAATTTTATCAAGCGACAATGGATTACACTCGGTTTTCTAAGGCCCCTAATTTCGTTCATTTTTGTTATTTTAATCAGTTATTTTGACGTTAACTTCATTAAAAGGAGTGTGTCGGCAATTCAAAGATGCGTTTAAATTTACAAGAATCCTCAGCAAAGTTAATTTCTGTGCATATCTGTTAATTTAGGCCGATAACGGAAAGTGCTTGGCGCTTTTCGCTGCAACGCAAAGAGTCCTCCTCTTTTGTGTCCCTTTCCAAATTTAAATATTCGGCGAAATGCAAATTAGATTTAAGCCTTGCCATTAACAAAAACATGTGGATGAATTCTTCTTTGCAGAAGAGAAAGAATTTGAATTTCATGTTGTGAGGATAAAATCATACCCACACTGTTAAAAAAGTTATTTTTCGCGCCGTTTTTGTGAGCTGGTTGGGAAAACCAAAAGGTTCGCGCATGCGTAGTTCTTATCATATTAAAAATGAATCGTAAGTTTTTTTCTGTGATAGTCACAAACAAGCAGAAGAGTTTTTCTCGGAAGATTTTGCAACGAGAGTGGTTTGTTTTTCCTTTATTGTAGGAATTGATTCAATAAAAAAAAACCCTTTACGAACACTAGTTCGAAAATAGAAAAGCATTCTCACTTTAATTTGTTTTATTATTGAGAAAAATTCTTTTATATTCTAAAGAGGTTTGCGCAGAATTATTGTACAAAAGTTTAATGCTTGATAGATAGCTTCCAACAGCCCTCGCTGGTCACTCACCTAATGAAGAAAAACAAGCGGTAACACACTCTGAGAAATGAAGTGACCTTGTGACAATGTTTAGACATTTCTTTTATTCCCGGCTTGGGAGGAAGCTCGTTCGAATTGCAGTGTTATTGTGTTGTTAACGGACATGTCAGCATCCAAGCCGGTGCGCGTCAATGCAAACGTTCTCACTAATTGGTTTTATGATTATGCCGTCGCGTCTTTGTATACATGAGAGACGGATAGTACACGGTCCGAATAAAAGGGGCACGTGAGATTACAATCTTGCTCATTTGATAATAACACACACAGTGAGGCACCGGGTAGTCGGTAAGCTTTCTTATTTATCGCTTCATCGTGAAATAACTTTTCACATCCATTTTGTATTTAGTACGATATGAATTTAATCTTCTCTGTTTGAAATTCTTAAAGTTTTCGATGTATTTATTCGATGTAATGCTTCGTTATTATACCTCGTAGATTCAAATGGAAGATATCTTTCACGGCAGCTTTTACACCGAACCGTCCTTTGACGGTGCTTTTTTTAACGACGGCTTCACTCCGGAGAATCGAGCCGGTTTTGGCCTCACAGATGAGCAGCTGAATTCGATTGTTAAGTACAGAGACATAGAGTGTCCTTCAACAGCTAACACCGCGGAATACCATGAGTTGTCTACCCTTTCATACGACAAAACTCCACAATGCCAAGCGTCATGCCAGACGCTTCTGGACAGTACACCTACAGCCCTGGAAGTGCTGGATGAAATCTGTCTTGGTAATAACACACTGGAAAATACTGAGACCACAGGAACCTACGACGATAATGCTTGCTCACGACAAAGCTGCGGACAACCTTTGAAAAAAATGCGCCGTCTTCGCGCCAACGATCGGGAACGGCGTCGGATGCGATCTTTGAACAGAGCATTAGAAAGCCTCAAGAAATGTCTACCAGTCCCACAAAGCAAGCGGCGCGTGACCAAGTTAGAAATTCTCCGAATCGCTTGTAATTACATCCGGTCACTGTCAGACGCTCTCAGCGAAGATTCACGAGGTAACGACGGTCCGAGTCGAGGAAGAAAGTCGCGATCCCGTGGAATTGTCGGCGATCCCGTTGTTAACGGGTTTTCAGTTGCCCAAAGGTTAGAAATTTTGTCAGGAAACAACACAAATCGTATTTGAACCAAAGAAACTCGGACGTTTCGCAGGTCTATACACTGTCTATATTTTATCATTGTTGCTAAGTAAATTATGTATTTAATATTTTATAATTCAGGTAAAAAAAGGTTGCATTTTATTGTTAATTTTATCCTATAAATGTCAACTTTGTATACCTTTTTACGCTTGTAAAATATCAACCTAGTTTTATTAACACATTTGAAGTCAGTGAACGAGTGTCGAAATAACTGATATGCTGCCAGAGAAACGGCGCTGGTTTGTCTAAGAGATCTAAAGAGCCACCTTAACTTTTAAGAGCCAAACGGTATAAAACTGTAATGTTTTTCTTAGCACACTAGATTCACCCAGACTTTAAACATCTTGTTATACGCTACTACATGCATAAGGTAGAAAAGCAAAAGCGAATTCATTAAAAGTAAAAAAAAAAAGATGAGTACCCTTTATTCCCGTTTAAATTTCAAACACAAGGCTTGCTCACCTATTGTGATGAGTATCTCCAAGAGCCATAAATGGAACTGAATATGGCTCTTGGTATCTCTGAATGTTATGGTGAGAACATATTCTGCTGAAACTGGCAAATAAATGATAAAGACGACAATTAAAATGATTGTTATGGAAAACCGTGAATGGAATACCGAATGATGTATTGTGATGTACTTACAATGGCAACAAAATGATACAATATTATTTCGAGTAGTACTTTCTCCCCCCTGCCGAACAAAATTGAATCAAATACATAGTTAAATGTACGACAAAAACAAATCCACGTTTACCATAATTTATAAAAGATCTTTGGCGCAATTGTTAAGCACTCGTCGTAAAAAAGCTTTCTGCGGTCGGTTAGTTTCCAGCGGCGAGTTCTACTTTGTTCCCAACCGAACCGTTCCTTAAGCACTAAGAGAGTCTGTATTTCAACCTTAAAAATGCTAATCTGTTCGTCTTTAGAAATTGCTCAGTTTTTTCTCCGTTATCTACATAACCGCGTAAAAATGTTTGACGCTTGTATGAGAAATTACGTAAAGATTACCAAGTGCTTACAGTCTATAACCGCTCACATTTAATTCATTGTGTCAACATAATTACCCTGTTGAATGGTTTTTCCACAATGGGAAAAGACTATTTAGCACAGATATCAGTGTCTTTCGATTTACGACAAATTGTGTTTAAAACAGCGAGATTTACGTCTCAAGTTGTAGAATTTAAAATCAATCAAGCTCGATCGGTCAAATACATGATTTTAAACTGAAATTATCAAGCGTGGTTAACTTTAAAAGTTATTGATTTTGACTTTTAAATGATACACGTGATAAGTTTAGGTACTTATAAAATCTTTTTGAAAAAGATCACGTTCTTTTAACTGAAGGATTTACGGTTCAGCAAACTCTTTGGAACCCAAAAGGATTGGTGTAAATTATTGCGCAAAAACCAGAATCCTTAGCAAAGAGACAAAACACGAAATCTACTTCTGTTTTTTCTCAGAGGGCGAACCGAAAAAGCAATAAAAAAAGTTGTTTTGAATTAATGCGGTTTTAATTAAAACGTGTTCGTAAGACGCTGATCTCTAAGTCCCTTTATGTTGCTTAATCAGCATCCAATGAGTTTGGCTTTCCTTTTCCTTTCTTTCGGACGACAGTAATTAAAAGAGGAGGAGAAACTGTGCAAAATAATATAACCAAAACTAGTTTAATTAATTTCTAAAGCTAGGGCTGCAATCTTAATTGACTTTCGAGGTCAATGAGCCGAAAGTTTTGTGTTCACTAATTTGTAAATAAGACGAATAGGTCCCGGTTGTTCGCCGGAAGGTTGCCAAGTAGGCCCCGGTTGTTCGTTGGAAGGTTGGATGACGCTATCCACTTGTTAAATCTCTATCCGGTAGATCGCACTTTACGTTTGTTAAACAGTCATCATCTAGATATAGATGGTGTTTCTAGATAATTCACTCCGACGAAGGGCTAACGCTCGTCGGAAAGGTCAGCTTTTATAATCGTAACGGTGGCCAACTTACCATTTCAACTTTGTTGATATATTGAAATTATCATCTAGATATAGCCGGCTTCTCTGGTTTTTGAATAACTGGTCCCAGATTAATAAGGGAGAGTTTGTTTGAGTAAAACCCTATTTTCTATGCTTAATATGCACAAAGATCAGTACCTTTTTTATTTCTTCTGAGTTGAAAAGTTGCGAGACCCTTCTTGTTATCTGAAGAAAGATTTAAATCTCGATTTAAAACAGAAGATTAAGAGTGTTTTAAAGTCGGTCTGATTTTGAACGCCTATAAATCGCATGTATTATTTGTCAATCTCATTCGTAGTTTCAAACAGTGAATTTTCAGACTTCAGAATTTTGACTTTCTTCACTATAATAGTTGTGTGCCCATACCGATCATGGTCAGCGGATACCTTGTCGAGCAAGTTCCGTCGTTTAAACTACTCGGCGTTCATGTTATCACCTAATACTGACAGCTAAATTTTATATATACAAGTCTAAATTGAGTTCTAAAAATCCTTCTATAGGAGTTTATAAGACCAAGATCGGGGAGATATACCAGGTAGAAATGAAGATGGCAACAAAGCGGAATAAATTAGCTAAACATTTTCAGAAATGGAATAAGCTTTTGCCACATATCGTTTTGTGGGATGGGTGTCCAAACAATGTAGAGTAGCATACGAAGTCAAATTTATTGTAAAGCACACAATTTCGCTATATACTATTATTAAGGTACTGTAAGTAATTTATGTAACATATTGAAACGAGTGTAATATGTCGTTACGTAATGTAAATGTAGAGTATCTTGTAGATAGTGGAAGTAATCGATAGTAAGTCATCTGCTGTAATCAAGTTTATTGTAAACTATACTTTGTTTGTGGTGTGTTCTCAGTAAACTATTGTAAGCAACGTACTGTAACTGAGTCCTGTAGTGTATTGTAAGTAGAGTAATGTTTTGTAAAATGCCAAAAAAATAAAGAAATTACAAAAAAAAAAAGTTCCGTCCTTTAAACTACTCGGCGTTCATGTTTCGGAGGATCTTAGGTGGACGGTGCACATTGACTGGTTGGTGAAGAGGGCCAATCGTAGACTGTTTGCGTTAAGGCAGCTGCGTAAGTGTGGCGTTCCACCTGAAGACATCGTTGCCATATACTGTGTACTTGTAAGATCTATATTGGAGTACGCGTCAGCTGTGTTTGCTGACTTGCCAAAGTACCTGGATAACGCACTGGAAGACGTCCAGAAAAGGGCTCTTTCTATTATATGGCCTGACCTTCCATACGAACATACGCTTGACAAGGCCGCAATTCAGACCTTGTCGGCGCGCCGTGCAGCTGCATGCGAGCGGTTTATTCGTAAAATTCGCCCGGGCCATCCCTTATACCCCCATATTCATGAGCGAGTACTTCACAGCACAACGCAAATGTGTCTCCGATCAGGAAAATCTTCTCACCGCACACTTGTCAGAACTGAGCGTTTCAAAAATTTCGTTACCGTTAAGTATCAACCTGTGTAAAGTATTGTGTGTATTTATTTATTTAGGCTTCCAGTGTGTATATTTTAATACTGTACCAGTAATTCCGCCTTAGGCTGCAAGTGGTCCGAAATAAACTATATTACTTACTATTACTAGTCCAGAGACAGGATTTCCTTTTAATCTTTGTCAGTATTATAGTAGTTGTTGCATTTACCACTTCACTGAGATTTCGGGATACGAAAATAATGGGTGCAAACACTTCTGTTGAGCTTGTGTACGACTGACAAGAATTCTTCCACACAAAGACCCTCTTTCGCCATCATACTCACTGTATTCAGAGTGAAAGCCATCCTTCTTTACTTAAAAAACTGTGATAACAAGCTATTTCCTAGGTGAGTTTAATCATTCTTTAACTTGAAATTTATTTACATACGGATCGTGTAATTTGATCGTCCATGGAAGGAGCTCGAGTAGTCCTGGAGAAGACTGTTGTCGGAAAAAGTAGAGAGATTTAGCACCGCGTTCACGTGAAACGTAAACGGCAAGAGTGGCCACGTGACCTTGTTTTCCCACTTTTTTCCACATTCGCCGGTTGCGCTTTGCCGTTTCTAAGTGAAAGTAACCTGTTTCGCGTTTGCTGTGTACGTAAGATTTTCCTTACGTTTTCTCTAACCGAGTAGAAGTTGATTGCCGGAAAAAGGGCGCCAAAACTATTGCCTGTTAGTCATTTAGAGGCGCCTTCAGATCCGCCATAACGTGAGCCCACGCGAAGCTAAAACAGCAAGGTTCACGCTATTTTACGTGAAACGTAAAAGGGCAAACTGACATTTGCCGTTTCACGTGATCGTGATCGTCGTGCTAAATCCCTCCAGTGACTGACGATTTGACAACGTTAGCGAAAGTCTTTGTGAACGATTGAATCTGAAAACCTGCAATGCTTAACAGGAACAGATAGTAACTACACAGCGGTCAAACGAAAGACATGCGTGAAGGGATCAATTTTGGGCGCCTGCACACCCAATCTAGAGCCCAGGGTCAAATTGGCTCCTTTTTAGAGGGATCGTCGCGTCATTATTTCCTGTGCGTCAATTTCGCGGCAAAATTTTTAAGGAAAACATTAGAAACAATCGCTGTCTCGCAAAATAAGCGAAAGAAATTGAAACATTCGTAGAAATATGTGAAAAAGGAAACAGAAATAGGGGGAATGAGAACTCAAGATTTTCTGAACACAAAAGGTTATTCACGTAAGAGTATCCTGTTGATCTACCATTCTGTTTTGAGCTTTGCCAAAAATCTATACGTCATTTAAACTCCGTGAATTGCTGGCGGGCTTGTGTGGTTGTTTGTAGCTCGAGTGAAAGAACTTTTTACAGGCAGCCTGAAAGTACCTCCCTAAGTCATTACAGACGTTTGACCGCTATGTTCTATGTTTTGAAAAATCATGGACGAGGAGCATGGGGAGTAGGGTTGGTGTAGTGGTGAGAGTGCTCGCCTTCCACCAATGTGTCCCGGGTTCGATTCCCGGACCCGGTGTCATAAG